TGTTCCGTGGGATTAGGTGATCCCCTGTAAACCGTATAGAGGCATCGAAGCTGGCTTCAGGTCGGCCTCGACCAGTGTCATTCTATCGAAAGCTGACTTGAACAGAATGTTCACAGCGCTCCCGTGTCCACAAGCATCCTGCAACATTATGACACCCAATCAGGGGTGATTACCAGAGCGTCCCGTGCGGATGAGTGCAAGCTGCCTCCTTCTCGCAGAAGGTGATTGGTTCTTCCTTCCTGGCTTTCTGAGGTCACTGCGATGTGCTCATGACACTGATCGGGTCATGATGCGCTTCCCGAGCATACCTGTCCTGCGCCCCCGCGTGTTTCCAGCGAGGTGCGGACCTCCGAAAATCAGGTTCACACTGCTTTACCCGCTGCGATCACGACGCTTGTTCTTTCACTCCCCTTGGTTTTCTTTTGGAGAGTCGTCAATGTACTCCTTGAGTGCCCCTTCTTGATAAGCTCTTCAATAGCCTGCTTTAGGGCTCGGCACTCATCAGTGTGATGCCCTTTATCCCGATGATATCGACAGTATTTCTTGCTGTTCCTGGCCTTGCAGGAGTTTTCATGGGTTCTGGTTCACCGAGCAGCGGGCTTCCTCGGACTTGTCGGATCCAGATATGGACACATTCAGTGGGGTGTATTGGGGCCCTGTCACGATCGTGACGGGGGACAGGAGCATAGGACTTTTTCTGCTCGTAGCGGGGTTCTTTCCTTTTCGCTGATCGTCATTGTCTCCTTTGCGATCAGCTCGCCTGTTATCTCCCCACCTGACATGCTGCTAAAGGTGCCGTGATCGCGACGGCGAAGTGCCGCCAATGAATTTTCTATTCGGAGATACTTTTCCGCCAGGTTGTAAAATCTGATGGGAAATATCGTCCTCAGCCTGCAGTTCCTTCCACAGGTCGGTTTGCGGCGAACTCCAGCTATTATAAGAGTTCGGATGGAATCTTCTGGGCGTGAGCCACCTTGTTGAGTTCCCTGTGAGCGGTCAACATAAGACAGCAGGGATTCGTCTCTTTCTTGCCTTATGTTGCTGAGGTAGCTTAAAGGCATTGAAAATTTCCGATTGCTTGGAAATGCCGCAGAACGTCGCGCTCATCTAGGCCACGAATTGATCGAACCCGTTGGGACGACCTTAACCACCGTTTGGCGTAGAAGTCAGCGTCACAGCCAAACATCGGCATTTCGCAAGGTCCGAAACCTGGTGGAGCTCCATCAGGCGTCGTTGAATCATACAAATGGTCCTGCGGATCATAGTTTCCATCAAACGGCCGCATGTCTGGCATTCTGACCCCGGGTGGAATGGGGCAGCTAGCACTTCAGGGGAAAATGGGGATGTAGAGACGACCTGTGTCTGCTCTTTTTGCTGCTCCCTTAACCTGTCCAGAGCCGCTGTAGCCTCCTCAATTTGCGGTAATGGAGCCAGTTGGGGGTTGTTTTCACCCGTGCGAGCCCTCCCTTCTCGGTTGCGGTTCAGAGCAGTCCGGAGATGATTCCTCCTCGCCTCGGCCGCATTTCCGGCCGCACTCGACACATCTGACTATGGGCATGTGAAGACGACGGGTTGTGAGGGCCACTTTCACGACCCTCGCGGTGGTACGAACCGCCCCGCGGTGTGATAACCTCCCCGTAACGATCGGGATTGCTCTGCTGGTGGTGATCGGAGACCACCATCCCAGCATTTTTGCTTGGGTTCGCTTGCATCGTGCAATGGGACAGCTCGGGGTCCACTCTCTCGCCAAGTCTCAGCTTTGCTGATACCCTGCTAGGGCACCCTTGGTATTCGCCGGCCCTTGGAACCCTAGGCTTATTTTTTGCCACTTGTTTACCCTTGCGTTTACGCGCTGCGTGCTCGCGGCACGGCTATCGCCCTTTGCCGCGCTTTCGCGCGACCTGCAGGCGTTTTTGGCTTTGTACGGCTCTGGCTATCGTGGATGACATGCCTTGGTCCAGACGGTCCAACCTCTGGTTGACTGTCTGGAGAGTATTATCAACCCTCTCCAGGTAACTCCTGATGGCAGGGTCCATTTGCGGGGCTGTGGGTTTCCCAGCAGCATTTTGTGAGATTAGAGGTATGTTGGAAGGGGTGTCCCTCTGGCCGGGGGACTCCTTCTGCATGCTGGTTCCCTTGCTCAGGTTCAATTGGCGGGCCATTGTAGCTGTAACCATTAGGTCAAACTCCTGATGAAGGTTAGACACTAAATCAGGCCCTCCTTCTAGCGCCAAACTGTTGATGCTCGATTTTACACCAATGAATTTTTACGTGTAATATATCAATTGACTGTTCGATGCACGTGAAAATAGAATGCAAGAAAGTAAAATAGCTGTAGAGGGAGTTTTTAAGTGGTTCGGACGCTAGATAGCAAGTCCTACGTCCACTGATTTGTATTGATATTAGTGGGTTGTCAGGTCGCGGTCGCGAGCTGACTTACATCAGACGAAAAAGTCAAAGAAAAAGTTTACAAGATAAGATTTCTGTTTTGTCTTCTTTTTTATGTAAAATGGCCGAATCCCCTTAATGAAGGGGTCTTCCCTATTTTATACTGAATCGAGGCTGTATATACATCACTAAATCCGTGGTTTGGTATATTGTCAGTACATAATCTGGCTTTAGTCCTATTTTCCTTTTTCCAGCTGACATCGCACGACTTGTTGCAGGAGAATGGACGCGTGTGGGCTCCACATCACTTGGCAGGTCTGACGTGTGCTGCTGCTCTGACGGGAGCAGGTCGCTCTTCACGTGACTTTTCCACGTCAGCCCTTTATTTCCTGCACAACAATTATTTAAATACTAATCATAACTTTTTCTTTTTAATATATTATTAAGTAATCATATTTAAATGTACTATGAACAATATTGTAACATGGTATGTTTAATAAAGCTTATACATACATTTATTGACTTAATTAAAGTATTCAAAACCTTACAAGTTAATCCTTTCTTATTTGTCAGCCAGTTGAGATGTCTTACTACAACGACAATGATTACATTTTTTTTTTTTTTCCAATCTGTCTTCCGTATTTAGTGGAGAGAAATAATTTAATAATTCATGATTTTTTTGTTGATTCTGTAATTTTTTTTTTTTTAATAAACTGTACAGGCCGAACGATATCTACCGTAATCACAAGTCACAACAACGATCTATACTTATATTTGCACAGTCAACGCTGACTGTCGGAGATTAATATTAATTTTCTGAAATCTAAATTTAAACCTACCGTCCGTGAATTAGTTCACACTTCAAAGTTTCACATGCACTAACCACGCATTATATTTACATATCTTAATTTGGGTCATGTCAACTTTTTGCACTTGTGTATCGGTACAAGTTTGCATGTAGCTGTCCCCGGAGAAGTCTTGATTTTCTGCAATTAAGAAATCTGGATTTTTTATTGCGTATGACCATGTGGTTGTATTTGTTAGAGATTATACCAGATTACTAATACAATCTGATTATCATGTTTAGTTATTAAGTAATATAGATTTCATAATCTTTTAATACTAATATTTTGTTATTATTGGTAATAATAGGAATCTGATTACCTCCATTTTCTTAGATATTTTAGGATTACTAGTAATTTCTTTTTTCTTACAATTTTATCTCTTATTATTAAAATTTTAGGACAATAATGCCCTTATTTTTAAATTAATTTACATCGATTTGGCTATTACATTTTTACCCTAATAATTAACTTTTTTTTGATAAAATTACCCTTGATTCATAACAATTGCAACCCATCCAAGCCACCACCCCTACCCACCTGCTACGCCGGCCATCGGCCACCACGCCTATCCTAAAACCCAAATAACTTTGTTTAATATTCTCAAAATAGATTTAGAGAATGAACGAAAATTGTTATACCCATTGTTTGAGTACAGTTCAGTATATTACTAACTGAGTTTTACAGAGAAAACAACTCTCTTTTATGAAGGAGAGAGAGTTGATACGGCATCGTTTTAGTGAAAGGGTATTTAAAGTTAATTTTATTTTGACCTCTTTTACTCGCTGGTCAACACTGAAGGAATTATGGAGGTAGGTTTTTCTATTGGCACCAATAGTTATATTTTTTGATCTTGTATCTTAGAGTGTAAACAGATCTGATGTTGAATTAATTTTGCATAGACTAATTCGTTCAACTGGTAAGTTGATCAGTACTATTTATTTTATATCTTCACAATGTTAACTTAGATATGAATGATCCAATTGTATACTTAATTTATTAATATTTCACTAATTATAATATATATCTTTACCTTGTCATCTTTCTTTAATCCAACCTATCATGTGATGTGAACCAACCATATACTTTATTAGTCTTTCTTTAATCAAGTCATAGTTAAGATTTGATTTAAGTGAACAAATTGTATTAAAAATCATTTAAATAAGCCTATTAATATGCTCGTTTGTCCTTTAAGCCATAAGATAAGTTTTCGTCTTTAAACACTTTCTTCGTAAGTCTTGAATCTTATATTTTGATTGTCATCGTATTTTCCTTTGGTAAAGTGGAAAGAAGTGAATATAGATGGATCTTGCCAACATTTCAGTAAGTTTGAGTAGCAGTAATCGGTCCAAAAAGAAACCACAAATTTGGAAAGAAAAGTGCGATGCAATCCAACTTGGAGTCAAAATCACTGAGGCGTGGAAGTTGATGCAATAAAGAAATTCCGGAATGCAAAAGGAATGCTTATAATTTGGGACAACGCAAGGTAATAAATAACTAATATTGTGATATGTTGTATGTATCTCATAATCTTTCAAATACTAATATTATATAACGATAGATACATAGATACATTGTAATTCTACCTCATACTTATCCCCATGTGTACTAATATATTGAAATTACCAGTGACGGAAAAAGTAGAAAAGGCAGTCATGTTCAACCATCCAAAAACTCAATTAGCAAAAAGGGAGACGAAACCACTCAACAGGCCAAGCTGTACCAGTGAAAAAATGAAATTTGCAAAGTCACAAAAGCGATGAATCAGTGATGAAAGGGAAAGGTAAGTTAAAAACTATATAGATAGTACTTTTACGTCAAATTTTTTCTCATGTGTACATATTTTGGAGTTAATATTGAACAGAAAGAGTAAGAAGGCAACATTTTCAATCATATTTCTCTCATGTGTATAATTTGGTTCTGATAGTGAATAGAAAAGTAAAGAGAGATCGTGTTCGACCATCCAAAAATTTAGTTACAAAAAGGAAGACGAAACGACTCAAACGAAGCAAGCTAGTCCTCATGGAAAAAGCAAATCTGGGAAAATCAAAAAAGTGCTGAATCAACACGGAAAGGAAAAGGTTATTCAAAACTATATAGGAATTACTTCTACTTCATACTTTTTATCATGTGTACTATAAATTTGGAATTTACAGTGAATAGAGAAAAAAAAGGCAACCATTTTCAGCCATCCAATAACTCAGTTTGCATAAAGGAACAGCCCACTCCAACGCACAAAAAAGGAAATGAATTAGTATTGAAAGGCGATCATGCTCATCCATCCAATAACCCAGTTAATCAACAAGGAGATGAAACCACACAATAAAACAAACCGATCGTGATGATCAAATAACCGAAATTTTGGAAAGTCACAAGAGTGCTGAATTAGTATTGAAAGGAAAGGTAAGTAGATAGTACTTTCAACATCTATTTTTTCCCATGTGTACATAATTTGAAATTAATGGTAAACGAAGGTGTACAGGAGCTGATAATGTTCAACCATCCAATAACTCGATTAACAAAAAGGGAGACGAAGCCACCCAAACGAAGCAAGTTGATCTTACTGAAAAAACTGAAAATTTGGAAGGTCAAATTGATCTTACTGAAAAAACTGAAAATTTGCAAAGTGAAAAGAGTGATCAATCAGTATTGAAAGGGAAAGGTATGTGACTCGGATAAAAATTGAAATTTCATAATAGATTTTACAATCCTTAACATACATTTTCACATCTACATTATTTGAAATTGGCAGTTGATAATGCTCGGTTCAAGCCACTAATCAAGGCTGTACAGAAGCGTAATTGGACACTTTTACAAGATTTGGTAAACAGGACTCCTTGGGCCTTGACGGAAACTGTTTCAGAATTTGAGGACACCATTTTTCACATAATTAATGTATCAGCTGCACCCACTTGGCTTATAAAGAAACTTGCATTCAAGATCAGTGCAGAAGAACTTCAAAATTTGAGAGGAGAGTTTGGCCGATCCGTTTTATTCCACTCTGCCATTTATGGCAATAGAAATGCTGCAAAAGCTTATGTCCTTAGGAACACTGAATTTCCAAACATAAGGAACGAAGAGGGTTATCTTCCAATTCATGAAGCAGCAAGATATGGCCACAAGGGAATAATTCAATACCTTCTGTCAAAAACAAAAGTACGGTTAGATGACGACAAAGGTGTTCAACTGATTAAAGATCTCATCAGTTCCGGACATTATGGTAAGTGCAAAAGTAATTTTCTTGTTTACGATATGGTTAGATAACGTTAAATTATCACATTAGAACTTTTTATTATTACTTTGGGAAACATCGATAATACAAGGAATCAAAGAATTTAATTATGATGATTACCTGATATAAATTTTTATTTTAGTCAATTTAATTTGTGTCATAAAATAAAGGGAGAAAATCAAAATGAAGATACATGTTTATAAAAACAATTAAAAAAGGACACAAGTTTATTAAAGGACAAAAATATGATATTTAACAGTACAATACTATTTGATTTAACTTTATAAAGGGTATATATGTAAATATATATTGTTATACAATGTAAAAGTCAAAAGAGACATTAAAAAAAATTTAATAGCCATTCACATATATAAACTCAAACACATAACCCCCCCCCCCCCCCCCCCCAAAAAAAATAATAATAATAATAATTTAAAACTTAATCAAGAGATAAAGTAGACAAACCTAAGTCTTAACATTTTATATTTGGCTTTCTATGTTCTTAGGTTAAAAGAATAATATTTTTTTTTTTAGACTTTGACAATCATCTAAAAATATGAAAAGTTGAGATGCGCACAAACTGATTTGAACACTCTGTTTTTGAAAAAATGAAAAAGAAATGTCATTGATTTAGGCTTATTGTGTAACAAACATGTTAAATTCCATATTAAAAAAAAGTTCAATAATTTTTACATAAACTAATATTTGATCTATGTATTACATCACAAAATTAGTGGAATAATTAAATATAAAATCTCAAACTCTATATAGAAGAAATTATATTATTTATGTAATGTCTTACAAAAAAAAGTTAAAAAAAAAAATAATAATAAAAATAGGGAAAGTTATTGGACATGCTAGAATAGACCATAATTACCAAAATAAAGTAAAATTAATTGATTTAGACCCTGCAGTTTGTTTACAAAAATTAGTTAGACCCTGCAGTTTGTTTACAAAAATTAGTATCATAATTACCAAAATAGTTTTTAATTTTTAATTTTGGACTTTAATCGATTAAAATTGGTTGAATAGTTATTTTGTATATTTTGAAACCGTATCATAATAGTCAATATTGTAAAAGATAATTAATGAAGGTATAGTTGACTTCTCCATACTATTACTCACTATTTTGTTAAATTAAACCTTCTTAAACAAATAAGTGTCTTTTTTTTTTTTTTTTTGGGTCTNAAAATAAAAATAGGGAGAGTTATTGGACATGCTAGAATAGAGCATGATTACCAAAATAAAGTAAAATTAATTGATTTAGACCCTGCAGTTTGTTTACAAAAATTAGTTAGACCCTGCAGTTTGTTTACAAAAATTAGTATCATAATTACCAAAATAGTTTTTAATTTTTAATTTTGGACTTTAATCGATTAAAATTGGTTGAATAGTTATTTTGTATATTTTGAAACCGTATCATAATAGTCAATATTGTAAAAGATAATTAATGAAGGTATAGTTGATTTCTTTATACTATTACTCACTATTTTGTTAAATTAAACTGTCTTAAACAAATGAGTGTCATTTTTTTTTTTTTTTTTGTCCTTTTTAAAACTTATGTCCCTTTTAAACATATATTCCCATTTTTATTTTCTTTGTAAAATAAATCAAACTTCTTAAGGTAAATTCCGATAAGGAGAAGATCCAAATTCATGTGGATTCAATTATTACCTTATAATCAAGTCAACTTGTATGTATGAGTTAGCATGCATTGAAGCATATCCTTCTATACCAAACCTTGTACACCAAAAGCATATCCCTCGAGCACTCAAAGGCTGTCGAAAGGCCTCGTTAATTTACCGTTCTTCAAATCTGGAATTTGTATCCTTCTACACCAAACCAGGTTGATCATATATATTGTCTTTGCTTTCTTTTATTAGTTTTCTTTCATGTGTTCAACTCAGTGGTCGAGTGGATAGAATTTTTCATTCTAGTGTGACGATATCTACATTACAGATTTCATTCTTACAACCAAACAATTGCCCTGCTAATTAATTTGTATTCATCTCTACTCCATTTACAGGTATAGCGTTAGATTTATGGAAGGGATATCCAAAGTTAGCTCTTGAAAACAATGCAGACAGAAAAAGTATATTAAAAATATTGGCTGGTAAGCCTCTGGCTTTTAAAAGTGCGAGTTGGAGTCGCCTTGGGTTTTGGAGACGCTTGATCTATGATTGTTAGTAACAACATTCTTCCTCTCATGCCTTATAGACTCAGATACACTCTAACAAACCCATCTCTTATATTCACATGCTCTTATTGTTGTTGCCTGTCTCTGCAGGGATTCCTCTGCAAGAGGAATATGTTCCTCACAATGAAAGTAACAATGGGGACATAGAAAACGCCGTTAAATGTCCAAACGAGTTGGGACAATCCAAACATTTTGGACCTATTCGTCGAATAATCTATGCTTCATTTGGTTTGTACACCTCCTATCTATCTATCTACAAAATAGATGCTAAATAAGTTGTCTTTCTGAAATTGCTTGTCCTACAAACCAAAACAATTTATAATACTACTTATTTGTTATAACACAGGTGCTTTGCGCCAAATGATCTGGCATATCCTCATGCTGCTAGGTAATTGGCATTGGACAATTTTCTTAATTAAAATGGACTATCTTGAAGGCATTCTTTATCTTGTTTCATTGACTTATTGAGTTGTTCAATTGCAGTCCCGGAAATCAAAAACATTCGCGATACAAAGTTGACACATATACAAACCCTCAAAATTGTTAGAATCTTGTGTCATGGTAGTGAAGTTACGTGGAATCGTAAAGAGGCCTTTGAAACTTTTTTGTCGCCATTTCTTGAAGCTGCAAAACTTGGGATTTGCGAAATTGTCGATGAAATTTTTGATGCTTATTTTTATGCTTATACCTACCGCTACAAAGATAATGGTCACGGTCTACTTCATATGGTAATTTTACATCGCCAAGAAAAGATTTTTAAAATTATTCAAGAAAGGAATGTGTATCTATCAAGCTGGAAAGCAGTCAACAAAGGTGGAAAAACTGACAACATGTTGCATTTGGCTGGACGGTTGGCAGCTTCAAGTCAAGTCTCTGGTGCAGCATTACAAATGCAGAGAGAATTACAGTGGTTCAAGGTGAATATATAATCCTACGAAAAAAAACAAAAACAAATTTATACTACTTATATACTTCAAATGACTATTTTATTGGAATTTTATTCTTGCCTCTAGATGTCTTGATCTTACATCTAACTGCAGATTTGCCAAAAATTTAAAATGCGGTACTTTCATTTCTCATATATGATTTCATGTGTATAATTGAATGTGCAAGAGATTTAGAAATCTGGCCTATACATGATTTTTATTCTAATTCTAAAGGTTCCTTTATTTTTTCTGGCCTAGTTAATAATTTCTTATAACATTTAATTCTTCTATAATATTTGAGATTTTTTGTTTGAGAATCAAATTTATTACTGCTCATGTTTACGCTAGCTAAGGTTTTATCTTCAGGCTGTGGAAAGTTATGTCCATCCATCCCTTCAAGAGCAACAAAATAAGAATAATAAAACTCCTAGAGAAGTCTTTACCGAAGAACACAAGGAATTGGTTAAACAAGGTGAAGAATGGATGAAGGGAACTGCTACATCATGCAGTGTTGTAGCTGCATTGATAATAACTGTAGTTTTTACAGCAGCTTTTACCGTACCAGGTGGCAACAACAATGATGGGATACCCATTTTCTTGCGCAACACAACTTTCATAGTCTTTGTCATATCAGATGCCCTTGCACTGTTTTCTTCCACAGCTTCAGTGCTGATGTTCTTGGCAATCCTCAGTTCACGTTACTCAGAAGACGATTTTTTGTTGTCATTGCCAAGGAAGTTAATCATCGGCCTTATCACGCTATTCTTTTCTATTGCAAGCATGATGGTAGCATTTGGTGCAACTCTTTACACATTTCTTTCACATTCATGGAATTGGACTGTCATTCCAATTTCACTACTCGGATGCCTCCCAGTGGCCTTATTTGTCATGTTACAATGTCCTCTCTTGGTTGAAATTTTCTCTTCCACTTATAGACCAATAATTTCCATAACCCCAAATAAATAATTTATGATGTCACTCTGGCAATAGCACCCACACAAAGTCTTCCTTTAGTGAATAAACCTGTATGAGGTGTTAATTTCATCTCGTGTCAGAGTCATTTACTTTTCTGCCATTTAATGTGAGGAAATTATTTCAAGGTTGAGGCAAATCTTATCATTAATTATTGCTATTATTTTTATTCCCTTGTAAGCAGTTTATGTATTTACCATTCTACTATTTAATATAATCATGCCTTATGTCACGGATTTCGCATCGAAAGCACATATAGAGGTCTTGATCTTCAGCTAATCAGCCTTTTGGATGTGAAACTCTCAACTTGTGATAGTGGTATCAAAGCAGACCTGATGGACAGGTAGGAAAAGGCCCCACTTGTGATGAGGGCATCATAGGATTGGGTGGGAGAGAATGTTATGGATCTCACATCGGAAACGCATTGGAGGTGGGAGAGAATGTTATGGATCTCACATCGGAAACGCATTAGAGAGGTCTTATAAGGGAGAGGGTCCCTCTACCTAATAGATTAGCCTTTTGGGTATGAAACTCTGTCCTATGACACTTAGGTCTCCTCAGGTTTGCTTAAAATAATTACATTATAATGTTAATTTTGGTTTAACAATGGCCTAATTTCATTGGCTCATGGCCCAAAGGTGTTGGGCAGCCCACAGCCCACTTACATAAATAGAATGGTTAATTTAGCACGACGCCAAGACCCATTTGGTCTAAATTATAGCGACTAATGATAATTTGATAAGCTAATTTTCTACAAATATAAATAAATAAATATAATTTGTTAGTACATAAAAAATTTTATTTCATTTACAAAGAAATGAGAAATTCAAAATAAAAATATATTAGATAGTATTTTACTCTCTTAAGTGGTTGTTATCTAACTGCATTAAATGATGGTAATTTATTTAATAAACAAATGCAATCCAAAATTAAGTCTTATCCTTAATTAATAATTGTTCTAAATTAAACGCCATCTTACAACGAACAAGTCAATTAATTTATAAACTAACTTAACGGATCTCCTATAACAAATTTAGGATCACATTTCGAAAGTAAGATTATAAAATAGGGCTTAATTAAGTTACCCTCTTTTACTATAGTTTAATGAAAACAATTCCTTGTCTATGCACTTATTTACAACTTAAATATGATATATTTAATATTTATTACTGTAAATTTTGGGAAACTATTGAAACAATCATATTTTTATTTTTTTAATAAAAGCTATCCACTTTAAGAATCATTATACATTTAGTAAAGATTGACAAAATTATAATTTCTAAACAACATATTCCACGTCGAGTAGGAATTTTCCACATACTGAATTATCATATGGTTATCTAGTACATGGAATATGTCAAACTCTCCTCTAGTATATTTGAGTGTGTCAAGCATTCTTTCTGTGATTGCTTCTTTGATCTTTATTGGTTTTGCTATGTGGATTTGCTTCTGATATCAAATTTGTATCTGGGTTTCTTCTGTTTTGCTTCTGATCCGATGGATCTGTCTGTGTTGTTTGATCTGATTGATTGATTCATTTGGGGGATATGTTTGTTCGGTTTGTGGTAAAGATCTATGTTGGACTTGCTTTTAGACTAATCATCAGTTGAAGAACTAAGTAGATGATTAAGATAATTTCCAAGGGATGAAGTTATGATTTCCTTTCGATTTCGAAGATTGTAGGGTTTTGCGGTGTCTCAAGTTTTGAAGTTGAGTTCGTTCGGTGGGGTTGTGGGATTTTGTGGCAGATGATATTTTTCTGTTAGTTGGGACGGTTAGAATTAATTGTATGCTTTTTTGTTGGTTGTTAGTTTTAAAGTTTCAAAGATTAGTTAGATTGTCAGATACTGGATTGAAATTACAGTCAATTGATTACTGAAAGTGATGAATCAGTATTGAAAAGTAAAGGTACGTGACTCGAATAAAAATTGAAATTTAATGCATTTCATAATAAATTTTTAAGTTCTTTATATACATTTTCACATCTACATTATTTGGAACTGATAGAGAACAAAACGACTGAGGTGATAATAGTTGATAATGCTCGGTTCAGGCCATTAATCAAGGCTGTACAGGAGCGTAATTGGATAGTTTTACAAGATTTGATAGATAGGACTCCTGGGGCCTTGACTAAAACTGTTTCAGAATATGGGGGTACCATTTTTCACATAATTAATGTATCAGGTGCCCCCATTTGGCTTATAAAGAAGCTTGCATTCAAGATCAGTGCAAAAGAACTTCAAAGTTTGAGAGGATATTCTAGCCGATCCATTATATTCAACGCTGCTATTTGTGGCAATAGAAAGGGTATAAAAGCTTATCTCCTTAGGCACGCAGAATTTCCAAACATAAGGAACGGAGAGGGTTTTCTTCCAATTCATGCGGCAGCAGAATATGGCCACAAGGGAATAATTCAATTACTTCTGTCAAAAACAAAAATACGTTTGGATGACGATAAAGGTGTTAAACTGATTAAAGATCTCATCAGTCTCCTTGTTCAGTTGAAGTTTTTCAAAACAATACTTATACCGGAGAAAACAAAATTAAATAATATGAAAGTTAATTAAATCTGAAATCTCAGTTACATTGAGTAGAATGAAGTGAATTATGTAGGTTACTTAAAGAGTACTACAACTAAGGAAAAGTAATACGAGAAAGGAAATCCTTTATGTAGACAAAAATACTGCTGAGGAAACGTACTTTATAATGATACCAAATAAGAGGTAATCTTCATTATAGCCATATCATAATAATACTTAATTAAATAGCTTGTATATAGTTGGCGTTTGTCAAACTAAGCTCTATTATTTCGATAATGTATTGTCTTCTGGAAACTTAGCTCTTCAAAATTTGATTATGCTTTCTCTGCTTCTTAATGCCCGTTGTAAGCAGGAATAAGAATGGGCAAAGCGGTAAGAGTTGAAGGTGAGACTGCCTTCCTTGCCGTTGCCAAGCTGCATCATTTTCTTAATCCTCATCCTGATCTTGCCCACGGTTGATGCTTTTGGTTCTTCCATATCATGATCAATCGGCCTGATCATTCAACCCAACCCAACAGTTCTTCACATGCACTTTTCCTCCTCATATGGCTGAACTCCAGTCCATGTATCATCTAAATTTTGAAAACAAATTAATTAAACCTATCCTTCCTGAATATTTCCAGTTGACAAAGTTTCACATGCACCCAGTATCTTAATTGTCATTAATTAGTCATGACTATCATCATTAATTTGGGTCAATGTCAACGTTTTCCACATGTGTATTGGTACAAGTGTGAATCTAGCTGGAGACTGGAGAGTCTCCGGAGAAGTCTTGGCCATATAAGTTTATTCCTATCAGCTGTAAGTGACGGAGCCACTCAGGGCTGAGTGGGGGCTCATGCCCCACCTAAACTTGGAATTTTTTATTTTCCCCTTTTTGACAAGGACCCTATCTATTTTATTTTATAAAAATAATTTTAATCCCACAATACTATAATTTTTCTTTTACCTAACTATATATTTAAGTTTGTCTTTTCCTTCCCCTCACTGAATATAGAGTAGATAAACAAAAAAGGTCCTGTATTTTATTATTCCCAAATTATTATTATTATTTTTCTATCTTTTGCCTAATCAAAATAGTGGTATTAATTGCTTGATTGCTTTAGAAACTAAAGATAAGATATCATTGTATAATAGTTTTTGAGAACTAGGCATAAAGTAACATTTGGAGACTAATGGATAAATGACAAATTTATTGTACATATATGAATACGACAGTGCTTTTATGTTTTTTTAGTATAGAGCTTTTGAAAAAATAATAATAATAATAATAATAAAGACTTGAAATCTCTTTTGATAACAACTTGTTCTCATGAGATACTCAATTCAAGAATTAAGAAGTGGAAGAATATTATATCCTAACTCTTTATCTTGTGTTTGTAGTAGATGGCTGAAAATGGTAACTTTTGTCTTTAACTTTTGTCTTATAAAGAAGTTCTAAAATAAAATGGTAACCTTTTGGCTTATGAGAAAGTGTTTTGTGAAACTAATGATAATGTACTCTTTTTTCTAGTTTGTGTATTTTTTATTAAATTTATTCTTAAACGGGTTTTTCCACTTTTTGTTTTTCCAGTGTTTAATTTTCTCAACTTTTTGGATTTATTTTTTTAATTATTTAATTTAAACCATTTTTCATTTATTTACTGGTCTTTTCATTTTTTTTTTTAATAATTTTATCAATTTAGAATTTAGTAACTATAACTAAAATTTGCAAGAAAGGGATTGTCGAATTGACAAAGGATATATAGAGAGACAAACAGTCAAAAGTGTAAGAATTGAGAAATTAAAATTACATTTGCATTTCATGCCAATTGATAAAATAAATAAATGAAGTAATAATTAAACAATTTGTCCCTTTCTAATCAGAATATTTTATAAATTTGATGTGATGTGATCTAAATGAACTACACAAAATCTAGATAAACAGAATATTTTACACGGTCGATCTGCCCAAAAAAGGCTAGATCTACGGCCAAAGATCTGGCAGTAACCAGTTGTCAATGATAGTCAAGATATGACAGTCGTTGACGACCAAGTGCGACCAGATCTAGTCGTCAATAGCGACTGATGGTTCATTGAAATTTGGAACCGAAACCAAAGGTTCCGGTTCCTAGGTACCCAGAATCGAAACCTGTAATAACGGTTCCGGTTTCTGTTTTGGGTACCAGTAAAATTACAATTACCCCAAAAAAACCTTAAAAACTTACAAATACACCCATATTATCGGCGCACGACCGGTCAGATCCAGCGACTCTGACCATCCTCCGTTGGTGCCTCGGTGGTGGCCAACTATTGGTATTTAATGGGTGGGTGGGAGTGTTTATGTTAATTTTTAATATTTTATTATAAGGGTGTTTAATAAATAAACAAACTTAGGGAGGTATTTTTTATTAATTTCAAATCCTACATCGTAATAATCAACTAGTTTTATTTTTTTCAAAATATTATTTAATA